CCATAGGGCCTGCCCCACTATTTGAGAAATACTGTAATATAGCAATGTTGATGCTGATAGACAGTGGAAATATTGAATGCACCACAGTCTGCATTCTGTCCATCCATTCTGAATAATTCCAGTTCAAGTGTTTGTGAGAGACAGAAGTAAAATATTGCGTGGACGTGTATTCAACAGAGATGACATGGTTTCGTTTCTGTCTTTGTTCCAGGGTTTCTATGAGGAGGTCGCCAGCCCGCTGCTATTAGACATTGACCTTCGTTATCCTGACAATGCAGTAGAGTTCTCCACCAAAAACAGCTTCACCCACCTGTTTAATGGCTCAGAGATCGTGGTGGCCGGTCGGCTGCATGACAACAGTGTGGACAACTTCCTGGTTGAAGTCTCCGGAGAAGGGGTAAGAAGGACGAACACATCTGTCGGCATGTTAGATGGTACGAATCTGGAGGAGGAGAGGATGAGGTTCAGGTATTTTAAAAATATAGATTATGTCTGTAGTCAAAGAAAAAATGTAAATATGAAAGAAATTATTCAAGAGGAGGTTCAGAAGAGTTCTTTAAATGTTTCATTTAACCATTGGAAGAATGTCAACGGTGGATCTTCCCTGTTTCTCCAGTCTGAAAAGAATTACCAAGTGCAGGGAAAGCCAGGTGTACCGAAATGGGACGTGACGTATCCAGAGGACGAATATATATTTGGAGATTTCACAGAACGTCTGTGGGCCTATCTGACCATTCAGCAGCTGCTGGACAAGAGGTTTGTTCAGACATCCAGATTAACTCAGCAGAGGCATTTTGTATGTGAATTCTACTTAGAAAAATATATGTTCATGATATTAATAGGTTAAAAATTAAATTTCTCTTTAGAGATCAGTACAATAAGGATTTACTCCACACCACTGTGTATCTTAGAACCAAAATACTGACTACGGATTGAATTATACCATTTGACAAATGTTTCCTTCATGGGGGTTTACAGAGTCATTTCTCCACATTCAAATAAGCATTTTTCCAATCCAATGTGTTGCTAACTGTTACAACTGGGGTTTTGTGCAAAAACGTCTTTTCTTCCCGTCCCTCCAGTGATGTTGGTTCTAAGGGACAACAAGATGTTGCAAATGCCAAGGCGTTGAACATGTCTCTGCGGTACAGCTTCGTCACCCCGCTCACTTCATTGGTGGTCACCAAACCTGAGGCCGAGGCCGGGACCAACAAAACTCTCCTTGCAAACAAGCTGACTGAAAGTAAAGGAAACGTGTTCAGTGACATTAATCTCTCTCATATGTTTCTAAATAAGCTGTTCATAGCTAATTTATGTAACTTTTTTTAGATCTGTACTGTATTATCTAGCTTTTATAACCATCCATTCATTTTTGTGACAGTTCACTGTTCTTTCAACCACCCAATATTTGTTTTCTTTACAGGTGAACGACAGAAGGAAGAGAAAAATCCACGTATGACGAATGCAAACACAGTACCCGACCAACTGAGTCTTGCAAGCTCGCCAAATCATTTTAGAAGTGGAATTAGGGGTCATGGTCAAGGAGGAGGAGGAGTAGCTGCAAAACGAAGAGTAGGTGGAATAAGAAGAGGCGGAGGAGGCGGAGGAGGTAGAGGAGGAGGAGGAGGAGGAGGAGGTAAGCTTCTCCACAAACGGTGTGCAGTTTCTATAGGATTAATATCTGATTTGAGTTGGCTGTGGCGTAGCTTCCTGTCTGACATCATCACAATGTAATTGTGATGATGCCTCCACAGTGGATGGAGATCCTCATTTCCTGATAGAGGTACCAGATAGAGATGATGCTCTGTGCTTCACCATCACTGACAAACCAGGAACTATTTTCTCTTTGGTCAGAGACCCCAAATCAGGTCAGTACCAATTCAAGTAACTCCTGAAATCACAAAAGATGACATGTGTGTGAGACAAGTGATGAGCATCAACCTATTTATCGGACTTGTTGTGTTTCAGGTTTTGTGGTGAATGGCCAAATTATAGGTGTGAAGGGTAGAAACAACAACACATATTTTGGGCGTCTTGGCATTAGCCACCCAGAGCTGGGAGTGAGGCTGGAGGTGAGCACTGACAACATATCTGTCTTCCATGATGGCAAGAATGTCACACTGCTCTGGTCGGACACAGAGTTGATCAAAGAAGCAAAGTGAGTGACACATCTGTGCAGGTTGTAACCTGAAAACTGTTAAAGTGGCAAATGGCAAAATAGGAATTTGTAGATTGTTTATATATATATATATATATATATATATATATACATACATACAGTATATATCGACAGGTTTGCTACTGACCAGATGTTAGCAAACAAGTTAATCTTTGTGACGGAAGAGAGTCATGTAAAATATGTGTCCCACATTCTGAGCTAAAAACCAAACCCATGTCATATCGGCAGATCTAACAATAGCTCATGGTTTCCAGACTGTAGTAGAAAAAGTTTTAATATGCCAGCTATTTGATTATTGAACTAAAGCTCAATTATTTTTTTTTTTTTTAAATTCTCCCAGTTCTCCCAGTTTGGACCTCAGACTAACGGAGAACAGCCTGAACGTGACACTGAGGCACTTTATCAAATTCGTGATCGTCAAACACACAAAGATGTGGAAGAGACGCCACGATCAGCAGGACTACCTGGGCTTTTACACCGTGGACAGCCACCATGTATCTAAGACAGTCCATGGTTTGCTTGGTACAGACAGTCACTCAGCCATGATCTAATCTAAACCTTTTAAATATTAAAGCTGTTAATAAAAATATAAATGTACTAATGAAGGTATTTTCTCCAGGCCAGTTCTACCATGAGGTTAAGTTTGAGGTGGAAGGTCTCAATCCACAAGAAGTTCAGGAGAAAGAAGACGCGTTCTTGCATTTCAAGGGCCAAACAATTAAAGTTAGCAGGTGTGTATTATTGTTTGGTTTTTCATTTCTCATTCTTCTCCTTTCTGCTTGACAATAAAGTTATACGATAAGTCATGAGACATAAAAAATAACCTGCTTGTTGTTGTTGACATGTTATTAGGCTAGTATCTCTTGATCCCGTTTAGTGGAAAAGTGGACACTGTGTCTGTTACAGTGTGGAATTTCTCGGCTTGTCTTCAGTGTTGCCAGATTCCAAAAAGTTACAGTGACTTCAAATTTTTGTATTTTAAAAGAAATATATCTAAATATATTATATCTCATAACAAAGTCATGGTCACCACACGTCGATCATTGACCTGACTGTGAAGAGACACCTGAGATGATGCGTTACAGTGCAGTATCAGGCTGGTCAACTCATCCATGTGATGAAGAGGTTCAATTATTGTACATTATAGGATCTGGGCAATTATAGATCACACAGGGGGTAAACATATAATTCAAATATGATAATGATAATTAAACACTGACTAATCCATATTCAACTCCCAAAGTCCAGGAATGATCTGTGAGAGTGCTTGATTCTTCTTTTCTTATCTCCATATAATTCAGGTTCACTGCATTTTGCAGTGATATTTGAAATATCTGTTCATTTGTTTTTATGTACAGGCACATACAGAAGGACTTCAGCAAGGATGTGGTAAACGGGGAGAAGGTTCCCTGCTGGTTTGTTGACAGCAGTGGATCAGGACTGGTTGATGGGCAACTCTCAGACTACGTCCTATCTGGGCTTTTTGATTAAGTTTAATCCTTAAAACATTAAAAAGTCACCATTAAGTCTTCAAGAACAACAGGGATGATGGCTGTGTATACACAATAAGAAAATCTAGCAGTGTGAGGTTTAGAAGATACAATCTGATGTACAAACACATTTTTACAATATAAACAAACAGCATAAAACACATATAAAAACAAAATAGTGATTTTTGTTAGTCGTTTTTATTTTCTTTCATTAACTGATACACTGTCATTCTGCACAGCCTTTACTTAGTTAATAGTGTTTTAGAGCCTGGTGTTTTTTTTAAATAATGAATAATAACTTTTTTTATATACAGAAACTCAACTTAGAGTACATTTTGCACAGTCTGGTTTGTGGAAACCTAAGTATCACTAACATCATTGTGCATCACTCTCCCCATAATAAATGTTTGTAAACCATTCATGGAGGCATCTGTCCAATCACGGTCCACACCATGTACAACACAATCTGACCCTGTGGGACAGTGAATGGCTGGAGCAGCACTTTGCTGCCGTCAGTGATGTGGAAACTGCACTGAACTAGTAGTAGATAAACAGTCGATGACATTATACATACACTGTATATTCATATCAGTTTCACACAGACTGACTTGGGGTGAGAGAGTGGGAGAAATACATGTGGCCTCCATCTTCTGAAATGGTAACTCAAAAATAAATCACATTAATGACCTGAATGTCTAAATGTCTTTTGAAATAATAAATGTTAAGTGTCAATGTCCTCCCTGCTGTAATATTTAAAATACAGTATGATGTCATACAGAATGATGGAGAATCATTGCAGTATACTTGCATTGTTTTTTTTATTTCACCTGCTACTTTTCCATTACATTTCAACTTGTTCCATTTGCTGAATAAAGTCTTTATTTTTTCATTTGCCTTTGTGTCAACTTATTCTATAACTGAACGTGTAAAATTGTGGGAATTTCTGGTCAATGGTGCGTGAACTCCTGCACCTTCAAAGAGTATCCTGGCGACATGTGATAGTCAATGATGGGAGCCACACACACAAGGTCATCACTGTGATGTAAAACAAAATGTGATTCATTGGCCTCAGTCACCTTCTTCCAGAACACACGTGTCAAACTCAGGCCTGGGGGCCAAATCAGGCCCGCAGTGTAATTATATTTGACCTGTGAGATCATATCAAATGTGTACCATGAGTTGGCCCACCAGTATATAGGCCCTATATACTGGCAGGATTTGTAGTACTAGCGATGTATGCGTAATGTTATAGTACATACTTTTTTTGTTGTTGTTGGACTGTGAAAAAAAAAAATTACATTAAGAAAGAACTAGAAAGACTAGAGATAAAGAGACATAATAGGAACCAAGTACCACTGATGTGTTTTATTTCAAATTTAATTTCTCATCTTTATAATATTAAGCTTTGGTTGTTCCAGATCCAAATTTTATGCGAAACTAAAGTTTTTTCCATATGAAAAAAAATCTACATCACATATCTGGAGGGAAGGGAAAAAATGCACAATTGCCATCATTTTTTCAATAAGACTGTTGACTTTGATTAGAGCTGTCAGGCCTGTCTGTCTCTCTCCACTCCTGTCTGTTTCTCTAGGCTTGATCAATGTCATCACACTCACCTGTGTCCTGTGGTTCTTCTGTAATCAGTCTCACTCGTGTCACCTGGTGCCCTGCAGATGAACACCTCTCTCCCTCACTCAGGTTCATTGTTCATTGAAGTTGCCAGTGCTGTGTGGTGTTTTGCTCCTCTGAGATCCAGATTGTTGCAGCCTGGTCTTACTGTTCTGTGAGTTGGATTTATTTTTGTTTTGAACTGTTTAATAAACTCTTTGCTCTCTGTGAGTGCTGCGTTTGGGTCCTGCCTGCTTCCTATTTTAACAATACTTGTTTTCTTTTGTATAATCAATAATATAATCCTTATAAAACATCTTTAAGAATATAGTTACATTCATATACTATATATTTGTTTTTATTTGACATCAGCATGAAAGCAGTTTGTATTGTAGTTGGTCAAACAGAGAGAGCGTTAAGACTAAATGTAGTGGTAAACATGTTCCTAGGTGCCAGTGTTAAATTATAGGAGTTTACAGCTTGTGTACAGGTTCTGTCAGCAGTTGCTCAATAATCTGAGAATTCCCCATCAATATCAACCAATCAGCTCCAGGATAAATCCTAGAATCCTGAATAGCTACTGTCATATGGGAGGTTCTGTATCGAAGAAGTACATCTGCAAGGAGTGAGTTGATAATGTATTTTAATTATAATTCATCATTCCAATGTTAATGTGCAAGTTAAAAATGGTTTGAAATTGAAATATAAACAGACTTTTTAAAACAGACTTGACACGACGTAGTCTGAAGCATCTCCATCAATGAGGCCTGTTCCATTACTGTGAACAAACCAGCAGGGAACATTTTCTCCATTCTTTATATCCTGTCTGAAGTCTCTCTGCCAGCCTCTGTGAACCAGGACAGATGTGTCGTATTTAAAGAATTCCTTTTTTTATTTTACATTTCATAATTACAATAACATAATAGCATAATAATTATTGAGAGAACAGAATTATGAGAGGCGTGTACCTGGTCACATTCAGCTCATGTCCTTTCACATACATGGTGGCATCAGGTTTCTCTGGGACCTCTCCTGGACGCAGCTCGGACACCTCATATTCTACACCATGGTAGAACTGACCTGTGGAACACGGAAAACATTATGGCTGCTCCTCACCGCTCATATGATAAACACATATATTACCTACATTTTCTTTATTTGTTTTAAAGGTTTTTTTTTAATCAAATCTTGATGATTGTTTTTTGACTAATATCCTGAGACCTATCAGTGTACTTGGACAATAAGGTTGTCATGTTGTACCCAGAAGGCCGTGAACAGCAGGGGAGAGGAGATGACTGTCCACAGTATAAAAACCCAAGTAATCCTGATGGTATGGATGTTTGGCCCACACTTTGTGGAGCAGGATCACAAACTTGACTGAATCTTTCAGTGTAACTGTTAGACTGCGGTCCTTGGTCACATGAAGATCCATGCTGGAGGAGAAGGAAGAGGAGATCACTGTGAAGTGAACTTTAACTTTAAACAGAGATTGGAAAAAAACAAACAAAACATTTTCATCAAGGTATAAAATGTATATATGTAGCCACCACTCACTTGGTTCCTTTGAGAGAGATTGAGTTGGACCAATACATGGTCATCCATTTACTGTCCTGAAACACGTTGATGTCACTGGTGCTCACCTCCAGCTTCACCCTGAGAGTCTTGTGGGTGATGCCAAACCTCCAGAAATAGGTGTTTATTTTACCATCAGGGGGGATTTTCTTGTCTCCAATTGTCTGACCGTTGACAACAACACCTAAGAAACAATCAATGTACCGTAACTTCCAGACTATAAGCCGCGACTTTTTTTCCCACACGCTTTGAATCCTGCGGTTTAAACAATAATGTGGCTAATATATGGATTTTTTTCGGGCTAACAAGGTTCAAATCGCTAGCATCAATGACTTTTCTGGTCGGCTACTGTGTTATACTAGTAGCGTATGTCTGTTTGTGAATGGCTGTGTGCATAAATGTGCGTGGAGCGCGAGAGAGAGAAAACGTAGCGAATGTTGAGAGTAGTTTGAGCCATGTTGAATCAAGTGCAGCCTGTATATGTACAATTGTTTCTTTCCTGTCAAATTTAGTGAGTGTGGCTTATATTCAGGTGCGCTCAGTAGTCCGTAAATTACGGTAGTCTCTTTGTAGGGAGAGTTCTGTCTTATATTGGTCATTAATAAGGACTGAAGGAATTGTACTCTGTCAACTGAGAGGCTGACCAGGACTCACCTGACTTTGTGTCTTTAATCAGTGTGAAAATGGTTCCTGGTTTGTCGTTGATGTTGAAGCACAGCGCATCATTCTTCTCTGGCAGCTCGATAATGAAATGAGGGTCTCCATCCACTGCAAATGAAGGTATTTTAGAAGACACAGCAGTACCACAGCTGATGTTCTGCTGTAACATTAGCAATCCAAATCAAATTGAATTGAACATCAAGACCTGCAGAGTCAGCAGAGATTCAAAAAAGTCACTTACCATATTGTGTTGGTGGTGCATGGTAGGTATGTTGATAGCTACTAAATACAGGAGGTACATGTTGATACCCTGGGTGATGGAAGGGTTGACACATTAGATTCAAACCTCAGCTCTTTTCATCTTTTCATGGTTAAAAACAAAATACTGTCTTACTGTTCCTGTTCCTCTCTGCCTGCTGTCTTTCCTCTGTTGAAACAAAACAGAATAAAATATATTAACTCAAAATCCAGCCTAAATTTGTGATTCCCTAGAAGCCCCTGATCAAGACCAAGCTGGGAGCTAATGTTTTTGACCAGGGGAATGTCTGTTGATGAATGGAGACTGTGACCTGCTGTGAGGAGTCGAACACTGAGCCCACGTAACGCAGACTGCTGTGTTTATTTCTCCACACAGAGTGAAGTAAAGCTATTTGTAAATCAATGAGTTCCCCACCTTCAGTCAGCTTGTCTGCAATGAGAGGTCCTGTTTCCTCTGTCTCAGGTTTGGTGACCACCATGGAGGTCAGTGGTGTGACAAAGTTGTACTGCAGAGACATTTCCAGTGCCTTGGCTGTGGCGTTGACCTTCTCCGCTGGGTCACCACTCTTACTGCAGAAGACAAAGTTTGCCGTGTAAGTCAACATCTAAATAAAGTAGTATTTAGAAAAGAACAGAGTCATCTAAAAACATGTGATGGTGATAAATCAAATCTATTATATTAGTTTGGACATCAGTGTGAAAAGCAGACTGAGTGGAGCACCGTCAGGCTCAGACCTTAATGAGTCTCTTAAAACACTTTTACGAGAACTGTTGGAATATATGTTTGTCAGGTCAGAGCTTTTCTAAATTGAACAAACCTCTTATCCAGTAACTGCTGGATGGTCAGATAGGCCCACAGACGCTCTGTGAAATCCCCAAAGATGTACTCCTCATTTGGGTATGGGACCTCCTGGTCCAGGGTACTGGCCTGACCCTCTGCTTTGTAGTCCTCCTCAAACTACACAGAGGGGACGTCGTCTCACAGTGATAATAGTTACAGTGGACAACTTATGCTGCTTTTATGGTCAATTTGAATTAATATGGTTCCTTGAAGCCAAAATGAAATGTTACCTGGTTTGATCAAACACTCCAGAGACACCAATGTGTGTACCAAAACAGAAGTCAATTTTGCATGATAGTCTTCTCTTCCAAAAATATATATTAATAGTGTCTTTGCTTTTCCTTACCCCCTGACCCAGCACCTCCACCAGGAAGTTATCCAGGTCATTGTCTGTCAGACGACCAGCAACCACAATCTCTGAGCCGTTGAACAAATGGTTGAAGTGGTTTTTGGTCAGAGAGTCCACTGCGTTGTCAGGGTAACGTAGTTCCACCTCAGACAGCAGAGGGCTGGCAATTTCATCATAGAAACCCTGAAATACAGGTATGGTTTTTACTGAAACTGAAATGTTCCAAAATAGTTTTTCCTGTTTTATCAAACATAACATACATTTTGATTAAATATGTTTTGCTGTTACAATCCAAAGTAACATTTTCAACTGCTTCATATTGTCCTGTCAATTTTCGTGGTCACTGGGCAAACTGACAAATTCACTAAATCAGCAGTTATTGGTGGAGGGACAGACAATAACTAGCATTTATACTGGTACCTTTGGTCAATTTAACCTCTGACCTTATCATACCTGGTTTGGGCCATTGAAGCTTGAATGTTTGAGGAAAATCAACACACAGAGGAGGGAGAAGCAAATCCCACTGTGTCACTAAGTGACCTCAACTTTGTGGTGAATATTGAACAAAGAATTACAAAGAATATTTTGACTGGTAATGTAAGTCTGTAACTTCTTCTCCATCTTTACATACTACAGACTGTGTAAACTAATGTCTATATATCATTCACCTGCAGTTGAAGTGCAGCATCTGAAGCTTCGAATATTCTACGAGCAATTCCTTTGTTTTGTTTGCTCATCACATCCAGGAAGGAATAATCAACATCATTTCCAAATCCAAGACTGAAGAGAGACATTTTTCCTCCAATTGCTGACTGTACATTCTCCTGGATTTTCTTTGTGTTGGTCTCTCCTGTAGACACACAGTTCATAAATACATGAAGAAAATATCCTTTAAACCCTGCCAATGCCTCGACCTTCAAATCCTTTGAACCTGATTCAGATTATTGTGGGTTTGTCTGTACAAACTCACCTGAGACTGGCATCCCATCAGTCAGTAGGATGACCATGTCAACACTCCTCTCAGGAAGTCTATTCTCCTGTCTGTCTTTGACCAACATGTCAACTCCTCTTAACACGCCTAGGTTGATGTCTGTGCCTGGAACAAAACAAGCAGCAGAGAGTGGAATGGATCTGTGTCTAGAACTGTCAAGACTGTGATTCTTAAATCCACCAGACACATACCTCCCACAGGATGATGTTTTCTTACAAATGTCTTTCCTTCCTCTACGTTTTCCTTTGTTGCTTTGGAAAGTGAATCTCTCCAGGGTAAAACAATATGGTCAAACTTAATGACAGCAAAGTAGTCCTCTTCGTGGAGATCACTAAGGATATGCACTAGTGCATCTTTTGACTGCCAAGGAATAAGATAAGGCCAGAAGTTAAAAATTTTTCTAATTTTTTTTACAGCAGCTGCTTAAATATCTCCAGAAACATTTCTCACCTGCTGGAGTTTTCTTCCTGACATTGACCAACTATTGTCAGTCACAAACACAATGTTTTTTGGGACTCTTGGCAAGCCAGGTGGAGCAAAGAAGTGCACAAAGTACCCATTGACAATCTGGAAAGGAAAGGAAGTAAAAGAGCTAAATGTTTTGAGACCACAAACCTCCAGTGTTTCCCTGATAAGACACACTGAGATGAACCAGACATCTGTACTTTTGGTCTCAATCAAAGCTACAGCCGCTGAAGTTCTCTAAATGCTCCAGGGTTTAGTCTTTGTATAGTCTCAGTTCAAGTTAGAGACTGTGTAGGAGTGTACTGTATGTTCAGCACATGTTGAGTTCAGTGACCGTTGTCAGCTGACCTGAATGTCCCCAAATCTCTCTCCTCGATTGACGTCATACTTGATGACAAAATCTCCATCAATGAGCGTTCCATCACAGCCTGGACACTTCCTCTGCTGCTCCACCGTTGGTGAAAAGGAGATGTGGGCCTAACAAGGAGACCAAGACACTGAGTAAGATCCTTGCTGACGACCTTGTTTCCTCAAATGTCAGCAAACATGTCATATTCTGAATTTGAAAGAATTAACGCAAGACACCTTTTTGTCTGTGACAGTTTTGTCCACCAGGGGGAGCAAGTCATTGGTGAGGAACGTTGCATGGGCATCCAGGAAAGCAATGCCTTGTGGTTCGTAAATATTTGTCATTATCTGTTGACACACACACACACACAGTGAAAATCTTAACTGCTGTGACTATAAGGTCATCAGACTTGAATCACAGCTGCACCTTAAAGTCCTGAACCAGTGACTTAGGTTGGACTCTTGTTAAAATCTCATATTGGCCCAGTTTCCTCTGAAGGAGCTCCTCATAGGTCAGAATAAAAGTCACGTTACTTTTTGCAGCAATGTTGACGGACACTGAAAAACTCTCCATCTTCCTGCCAGAGGCCCTGCATTCAAACACAGACATCAACAATTACAACTACTCTATAATTGTTGCCTGAAACTCCCAGGTTCCTTTTTCAGATATTGAAGCATTTTGAAGTTGACCGACTAACTTGACCAGTCCAGCAGTCTGTCCAGAGGAGACGGCCTTCTCATACTGTTTCTTGGCCTTTTCTTTCTCCTTCACTTCACCGACATACACCTGACCTTCAATTTCCCTGGGGAGGGAGGGGGGGACATGTTTCATTACACAGTACTTTGTAGACAAATGTTGCGACTTTATTATTATTTTGTCCTGTTTAACTGCATTAAAAACAGAGTTTTGAAGGAAGACTGACATGCTGAAGTTGGTGATGAAGGCTGTCTTCGGCAGCTCCACTTTAAAGAAGATTTCCTGGGACACATTGGCTTTGTTCAGAGCCACAGAGGTCATGACGGTGTGAGCAAAACGAGACGTCACCGTGCAGTCCACCGTCACACTGAGCACCTCCACCTGAGCCACGGTAAAAGTGGGGGAGGAGGGGCAGGAGAAAGAGAAACTTCAGACAACATTTCATATTGAAGTAGACAGACTGTGTCGTCCTCCTTCGTCTCTTCTTCTTTCTTTCACAATATGTTTGCTGTTTGTCTTGTTTTTAAGGTTGATTTTATGTAGTCTGTTAGTTTTGATTCTATTTACTATAGACAACCTGGCAATGTAGGATTTTTTAAAAAAAACTTTGTGATATCAATTGAGAACGAACAGCGTCTTAACTTTATTTTGAAGTTTCGTGGTCTTTGCTCTCACAACACTGATTAGAAAGTTCTGCTTTTCCCCGAACTCTTACCAGCACATGGCATTTATTATTTCACACTGGGGTCAAATGAACAAAGATGAAAATTACTTTGTACTTTACTATACTATGTAAATCTACACAAATGCAGTGAATATATTTGGTATTTTTCTTCCAAGAATCAAAGAGTTGGTCTAAATGACACATTCATAAGTTCTTGCAAATCACCATAGCAACACAATGGTCTTACCTGAGCCTCATTTGCACTTCTTTTCTGAAATAACAAAAATAAATGTTTTATATATATTAGTGTAGTTAAGTAACACAGTTAAATGAGGACAAGCTAATGCAGAGGATTATTTTCCACTGGAGTCTTGTAGCTTAGTGTGTTGACTAAAATATGTTGTAATAAACATTTAATTGTGGTGGAGCGCTCCCTGGCTCAAGTCCAGAGGTGGAGTTAACCACCACATTCAAGAACTATAACACAGTAGCACGTTATCCACAAGTTATACATACAAATTAACATGGGCAAGATCGAATCCCGGTTAGGGCAGTTGGGACCTTCCAGTGGACTCACCACCCACAGGAAGGTTCAGGGAGGGTGGTACGGTGCAGTGTGATTTGGGGGAAGTCATAGAGACTGCTGCCCCCGCGACCCGGAAACAGATAAGCGGATGAAAATGGATGGATGGATTATATTATATTATATTATGTTTACTAATGAGGTAGGTGTAATGTAGAGGCTCTGCTACGTGGCTGACTACGAAAGATGTGTTTCTGTACCTGCAGTGACCTGGACTCAGGTCTCACCCCCTGAAACAAACAAACAAACAAACAAACAAACAAACAAACACGGCAAGTCAACATCTTCTTTGACTCAAAAAGATGTTGTAACACTGTACAAAGGTACGTGTGAGAGTTGAACTCACACACTCTTTTCACCACTGTATTCTGAGAGAGAATTCTGAGAGAGTGAAGTAAAACTGACCTGAGCGGCTTTCTGTTCTTCTGAAATGATGAGCGCCCCCTTGGCAAAGCTGAGCAGACATATGCAAACACAGCCCCACAGCAGCACCGGCAAATGGACACCTCTTAGTCGAGACATGACTGAAATCCTACTGAGCTCTGGCTTATTTCAGCACACTGGAACACCCTGTGTCCAGTGGGAGGGTCAGGAAGTGTGTTGACACACTGAACAGGTGACCTGTGTGCTCTTTTATAAGTAAATTCTGGTGAAAACAACTATCTCTGTCATGTATTGAACTTTGTACCCTTGAACACACAAAGTAAAAACCTCAGATTTTAACTGAACTTTAAACGCCTTTGAAGTTTTTGATTAAGCTTAACTGTCTGTTTTCTTTTACAAATACTGAAATAATGCTTGAAAATGGATTTCTACATCAGGTTGTGATGTGGTGAGAAAGAACTTATACAAAGAAGGAAATCTGTGGTGGCAACATTTTTCTAACCTGATTTCTTGCTTTATTAAGCCTTGGCTTCTTGAGTTTTGGATGAGTCCTTGCTGGGTTTAAGATTTGTTATTTATAATGATTATTTATTTATTCTATGATACATTCTTTTCAATTTGTTACTTTATTTATTCTATGATACATTCTTTTCAACTTGTTACTTCCAGTCAGATCTATCTTTTTTTTTTTAATTCTGGCATCTTTAGAAACTGCAATTTAGCCCACACCTGCTGCCTTCTTCTGTCTGCTGAGCTCTGTAACTGCACAGACTGCACTGTAGACTTCACTGGAAATGACGCCTTCATAAATAAATAAAAGTAGGAAAAACAAAGATAGATGCTAGATTTCACACAGGACAAAAACGAACAGAGATGCTAGATTTCACACAGGACAAAAATGAACAGAAACATCCATCCATTACCAGGTGGTGGGGCAGCAGTCACCACCCAAATCACACTGCACCGTACCAACCCCCCAAACCTTCCTGCAGGTGGTGAGTCCACTGGAAGGTATGAACTGCCCTAACCAGGATTCAAACTTGCCCAGGAGGTGAACCCTGGGATTCCAGACCAGAGACAGAGACATTGCCTCTGGGCCAAAGCGCCACTTGAACAGAAACAGAAGGAAAGAAAGACAGGCTCACACAGTATTGTGGGAAATCAATGACACACAGGTGAGACACATTAGGGGTGGAGCAGGTAATCAACAAGACAGAAAGCACAAGGGGAAAGGAAGTGTTGGTAGAAGAAGAGCTGAGGCTCTGATAAAAACAAAACAGAGATCCAACACGGAGGAGAACTGAACCACCTGTCTGGAAAACAGCAGTTAAGTTGAACTTTTCATGACTTAAAGATGTGTGCACTCTTATTTATGTCTTATATGGCTAAGTATGTGCACAGGTCTGAGGCCTGTGTCACAGTAGCTGCAGAGCTTGTTGATAGCCTGGCTGTGGCAGGACTGTGTTGATATATGTAAGTGTATATATATGTATATATATGTATCTGTGTATATATACTGTATATGTATGTATATATACCTACACATATATATGTGTGTGTGTGCCAGCATGTGTGAAAACCCTCCTGATATTGTCGTAAGTCAACACTTCTTATGACACGGCTGTGGTGTTATTAATAAAAGTTCCAGGGCCAGTGTGTGTTGACCCTGGTCATGTCGGAAGTTCAGAAGTTGAGAGGGATTTTCTTCTGGGGGATCTTCGCAGAAGTGTATGTTGTTGTTGTGCATGTTTGTATGTGTGTCTGCGCAGTGTGTGACCACGTGTAAGTGCAAGTGTGTGTGAGCTGATTAACACCAGATGTGTGCAGCTCAAGGTGTTGGCCTCAGTGTGAGAGGGCCCCTCTGTTGTCTTCTCTTCAGCTGTGGATGTAGAAAACGCTGCGGCGCCTCCTTCAAACACGTTGAACCCTAATATCTGTGGCTGATCCACACACAGGTTTAAAACATCAGGTCAAGTCAAGGCTAGGAGGAAAAAGGAGGGTTCACGAGGAGGTTGCACAAGTTATTCACTTTGTGGAGTAGTTTGTCTTTAGCTCCACCAGAGAGCAGTAAAGAGCTGTCAAAGATTTAGAGCTCATGTCCCACAGACAGTTTCTGTTGTATTTGCTCTTCAACTGAAACGGATTTGTAACTTTTTCAAATGAGATTGTGTTTCATTTGTCTTAAGATTATTTATGGTCTGTTTTGGTTTGGTGATTTTCTTTATGGGCCAGAGATTTAAAGTCTTGTAAATATTGATGTGCTTTATTTTTCTGCTTCTTTAAAAATTATTTTTCTGCTTGCATTGCTTACATTTTGCTGCTCATCTGACAAGTTGTGTTCTCTGCTGTGCTGTGGTGGTAGCTGTGGTTTTTATAAAGGCTGCTCTTTCTGCCCAGTGTCAAGAGTCAAATGTGTGTTTACTGTGTCAGGATGAATATTTCTGATCAAGTGTTTTGCTGTGGACACGGTGAATAAAATTATTTGGAATTTAATTAATCAACTCTGATGCACTATTTTGCCTTGTAGTTGCTGTAACAAAGTAAATTTTATTTCAATTTGCAAATTCACTAAAAATATCATTTAAATTTAACATCAGACAAGACACTCTGATTTTCTTAATGAACCCTAACTCTACTCTCCTACACTATTCCAAAAAGATTTTTTTTAATGTATATAAAATATTGCCTGTGTTGAGATGACGTGCTCATAACCTTTTTGCAAGTACACAAAAATGGGGGAAAAAAAGTAGTTTTAAATGATCTGGAACTCAGGTTCATGGTCTACAGACACGGTTTTAGACCCGTTAACTTGGAGTTAGTGAAATTCAACAAGGAAATTGATCAAAGTAAATCGGGTGGTGATTGACAACCTTTTGGGAACCTTCTTGTGTCTGTCCATGACACACTCTCACACACACACACACACACACACAGTTGAAGTTTGTCCAGCAGCTACAGCTCCATCACTTCACAAACTCCGCGACCATTTTCCTACATCCTCACCTCCCAGATCTCCACCTTCGTCCCTTCATCTCACCCTCCCCTGTGTGAATTTTTCACATTGTTGCTGCCGCTGGTGCGTGATGCAAAGACTGAGCGCCCTTTGTGCACATGCAGTGTGGGCGCTACGGTATGTGGCTCCTTGGCGTGTGGTTTGTCGTGACAGGCGTGTGGCTGCTGACGCCAGCCGGGCCGCCTGCCTGTCTGTGTTTCCCTCTGTTCTGTTACACCTGACCAGCACCCACCTCACACACACACACACACACACACACACTGAACATAGTGCTTGATGACAAAAGGTCACCAACACTTTGCTGCTGTTATCCATACAGGGGCCTTTGATGAAGCTGCTCTCTGCTCAGTTCCTCCACCAGCTCACACTCAGTTTGTTCACTCCAGATAAGCTTCATGCATTATGTGCTATTTGAACCCATTAAGTGTCAGGTGGAAGTGGCCGACGTCAACCGTTGGCAGCAAGTCTGAGTCGATCGATAGTTTTAGTTTTTAGTTTTGACTCAAGACACTGAAAAACAGAGTCACATGACAAATCAAACAACACGAGTGATAAAGTCAGGCTGTGGCTGAAACAACCACCGCCAGAAACATTACAGTAAAACTATTATTAAAATGGATGTCAATGATTAAGTAGAGATGAGTTAATATGTATTTATTCACATAGAAAACACAAAACAAGAACAAAGCAACATTTCTAAAACATGAGAAACAGGACGAGGCAGAAGAGGTGTTCGTGTTCAGGTGTTCCTTTTGTACGCCTTTTTCATTTTACTCTGTTCCACCTCAACTCAACTGTTGCTTATGTTATGAAATTTGTCTGTGTTTAAGAAAGTGATTTTTTTTTTTTTTTTGGTAAAATCAAAGAAGAAATATTTGTACATTCTGCATCTATGTCAAAGATCCAGTGAATTAAAATGAATCACAGGTTTTTATTGGTTAAGAAAGTGTTTTCTGAAGATGTTTGCCTTTGGCTGCAGGTTAATGTCAGTTATCTGCTGGTTTAAATGTAGGTTTGGAGATGAAGATCTGGTTTGTGTTGATGAATCAAAGTGAATTGAGAAGTTGTGTGTGTGTGTGTTTGTATAATTCCATTTTCTATTTCTGTAAGACAAAGTGAAAACTGACATTACAGTAGTTTTCAAACAGCTGTACGTCCCCACCTCCAGAGATCAGTGTCATTGTTTTCGCAGCACAGATCTGGACGCCCCAAATCGAGTGTGTCTAAGCCTGCGGCTACAGAAACATAGTTGTGGCCTTAACTTTATATTGAAAGTGCATTATTGAATTTTGTGGTTTGTGAAATGTGCTGCGTCGCTCTGTTCTGAAAACGCAGTGAAAGGCCGGGCGATATTGCAGCGTGTAGGGCTGTAATCCTGGGTCTTCAGAGCGCTCTCTCCGGCTGCTGAGGTGAAAAGTTGAACCTGGTGTTGACCTTCTCCTGAGAGAGGGCTTAACTGTGAAGTCAGACAGAGGCCAAAGGCAGAGGGAGGATATTCTAAAGTTCCTCTTCCCCTCCCTCCCTCCCCACAGCTGCCCTCCCCTTCTCGTTCCCTCCCACACGGAAACAATTAACATCTGTGATAAGATGTCGTACATATTTCAATCACTTTATCTCCATGCTGCTGTTTGTTTGTTTTTCCGTCGTGACGAAGGCCTCGTGTCCGTCCGCTTAACCACGACTACAACTCCTCTAGGTGCAAGAAGTTGGAGAGAGGGAGCGCAGGAGGACTTCAGTGTTTACTGCTGAGTTGAATCTGAAGATGGAGAGATAATGGGGAAAATAAGCAAACAATTATTCAAAAATAGACAAATTCCAGGATAAGAAAGAGAGAGGTCAGACTGGCAGACGACGGCCGCGCTGTTTTGGGCAAATATGAAAATATTAGGGGCAAAAGGCCACTGTAATAAATATCTCTATTAAATGGGAGGAAAGGAGAACACGGCGTAGTTGATGAAGAACAAACTGAACACATTTGTCACCACTCTATATAGTTTTTGTTTGTTTTTAAATTGAGTTGAGAAGTAGCTTATGACCCAAATATTGACTTTAAAATCGTCAAATTCATGTTAATTAAAATATGCACAAAATGGTGTTAAATACAGCCATTAATTAATTAACTCAGCTATTAATTAATTTAGGACAGCTGTCAACTAGATAA